CTAGGTCATTTCGGGAAAAACACATGGTTCAATTTTATTTCAATCATTCGCTTGCGCGTAGAGGTCTTTAGCAGTGGGAGGAAACCGGAGGACCCGGAGAAAACCCACGAGGTTGGACAGGCGACCCTACTCCTTGTCACGTACAACCGGGGAATCGAAACCCCGCCAGTTGACTCAATGACAGACCGTATGATACAGCGCGCGCGTGCTAACCATTCGGCCATCCAACCCCCCTTTCTGTAAATTAAAATATAGGTAATCGAATGAATTGAAATGGGGTTTAAGGTCCTAATGTCCAGCACCACTAACAAAGTGGAACCGCGCCTGAAATCCCGATTAATTTTCTCGGTCGAACCGGGTCGAACACAGGACTTCCCGCTAGCGTGCCAACGTCTTACTCACTGAGCCAACATGGCACCAAATTTGGGATATGTACATGTGAAAATAGGACATGTAATGATTGTGAAAACTTGGACTATGAATTCAGAATCCACCATAGGCGTACGGGCTCGATATGGGGCAGAACCTGATATTCCAGAAAAAAAAATCGAGTTACAGGCGAGGGTGCCGTATAGCCCTCCCCCCACCCCAAGAAAATTTGGAAAGTTTGACGGCCGCTAACGCGTTTTCGTGGCGCGTATCGTGATACAATTGTATTAACATCTTCTATGTCTATGTAACTATTGTAACACCTCACTGGTTTGCTCGAATAAAATGAATAGTCTGGCCTTTTATGCTCCTTAATGCCGTCACATGTGTAAAAATAAAATAGATATTTGAGTAACGTCCTTGTTGAATAAGTATGCAAATAATATTATAAAGAAGACGGTGTGTGAAATTGTATACGTATGTATAACATCAACGATAAATAAATTCATTATTTATACATTTGGATTATGACGCGACTTTTAAATTTTTTTAATAACCAGAAGTCTTTTATGAAGGGTGTTTCACGTTTCACCGGTGGCCTCTTGCTAAGATAAATTTAGAAATATCAGATAAATTTTTACATAAAATGGTCCCGTGATGCATGGGCGTACGAGGTCGATGAATGTTTGAAAATTTAACTGCCGCAAACGCGTTTTCCTGCCATTCCAGCCCGTGAATACAGCAACTTCAATGTGGTCCAATATAGCCCACCTTAGGTGACTTACCCGAATCCCAAACAACCAATCAATCGTCCCGGGGTATGGGGGGATTCGCGCTCCCGGAGAAAATTTTAAAACAAACTTAACCGCCGCAAATGCGTTTTTCTGCTATTCTAGCCCGTGACTTAAGCAACCCCAAAGTGACCAATCGGGCTGCCACCGAAATCCCACTCTATGCCGACCTGAATTCTAACCATCCAATCAGATTGTTGGGGCTGTATTCACAAATAATAGAGTGGCTCCAGACAAAATGTTTTAATCCATAGTCAATTCAGTACAAATTCGTGGTATTCAATTAAACGAAAAGTAAAATTAGTGTTTTATTAGATTTCGGGCACTTTATTTTGCCAACTAGATGAAATAATGATTTTTGTTTTCACTTTACTCGTCTCCCCGAAAGATCAGATTGCACGGAAGTTAGGGAGGGGCGGGGGGGGGGGGGGGGGGGGGCGGGGCAGCTTACTCTTTCTATAACATCTGATTGGACTTCTTATTTGAGGTCGAGACTGCGTCAAAGGTCGAATTCTTTAACAATATCTTTGGTGATAAGTGTAGCCTATTCGATCAAATTTACAACCAGGTGTAAATGCCGTATAACGCAATAAGGTTTGTCATCGTAACGTAAACAACTTGACAATATGCGTCATTGTCTTAGATATATAAAGTAGTCAAGTCGAATATACTAAGTACGCAGTCACACACATATTCTGTTTACTAGGCAGTATGAATAATGATACATACGTAGATCACCATCATATATATCTACACCGCTCCTATATACTAGATTGTATGTATACTTGACCTAAATCGAGGAGCCCCTGTCGGTCGCGTGTACGATCCCTGCATTTGCCGAGAAAGTTCATCGAGATTTTTCGATGGGGGTTTCCTCTTGTCAGTAGCGCAGGATGGAGGGGCCTGACTAGGACAGCTGTCTAGTCGTTCGGGTGTTACGAAAAACCGACATCCCGTGTATACATTGGCGTAGAATATCCCTTGGCAGTTTCCCTCATAGCACACTGTAGCTCAATCGGAGCAGAACAGTAGGACGTTAAATCCCATTTCATTTCATTTTATTTCATATACATCTACACCGCTCCTATATATTAGATAGATTGCATGTAGGGCCTATATATGCTTGACCTAAATCCAGACCAAATAATCCCCCCATTCAAAAGTACCAATGGACAGTCGTGAACAATGACGTCATTATGAACGATATTTTAATCCACTCACATCTCGTCATTTGGATGATAATGGAGATTTGGGCGTTTTTCACGAAAACAAAAGATCAATGGTCAATGGAATGTTAGAAAACATCGAACACGTGAATGAGTTAATAATTATGATTCTGTTGATTCATTTTGATGAATCAGCTAAATAAAGACATGATCTTAGGATTAGCGGCAATTATTGATTGTACCACATGGATTATGATTCTGTTGATTTATTATGATGAGTCAGCTTATTTAATACATGATCTTAGAATTAGCGATAATTAGAAGTTGTTTATTGTTTGTATGACGCGGATTAAACAGTATTTCTTCAGTGGTTACACCAAGGATAATCATGAATAGAATTTGATAAGAGAGAGAGATAGAGAGATAGATAGATAGAGATAGGGAGAGAGATAGATAGAGAGAGAGAGAGAGAGAGAGAGAGAGAGATAGAGAGAGATAGATAGATAGAGAGAGAGAGGGAGAGAGAGAGGGAGATGGGGTTTAACGTCCACTCGGCACAAACTAGGTCATTTCGGGACTAACATATGGTTTAATTTTATTTCAATAATTCGCTTGCGCGTAGGGGTCTTTAGCAGTGGGAGGAACCCGACAGTCTCCAAAACCGGTACATGCGTATTATATGGACAAGGAACCGAGCATAATGCGTTTCTGCTCCATTTGTAACAAGGGACTCGAAGAACGAGGCTGGGCATATTCCACAAGTCATGCCAAATAGTGACGCCAACTTCTTATTTGGAGAGCATGCGCAACAAATACTATCGGTGTAGACTGGAACAACCAGACGCTGGAGATTGCCATTCGATTGAGACTTGTTATTAGATTGAGACTACTAGCGTATTTCGCCGAACATAACTGATTAAATATTATAGAGTACAAACAGAAACGATTGAATGTAAATCAGTTTATATACATTCATATTACATTATTAAATGCGTTGCAGCCCATTTGTGTCAATTTCTAGGTCCTAAATATTAGCGATTTAGCTCCTCTAAGCACATCCAGCATAAAAAAGTAAAAGTAACCAAGGTATTTGAGGCGCACCCAACTCTTAAAAAGTAAAGGAAACCCAGACATTTCAAGTCCAGCCAGCATAAAAAGAGTAAAAAAAACCCAGGCACTTTAGGCACATTCGACATTCAAAATGTCAAAGAAAGCCAAACTTTTCTTATATATTTTTTCGGTAGGAAACATAGCTACGCCTCCAACACCAACACAATTAAACTGGGCGACTTTGTCGTGTTTTTCTCTACTCGAAAAAATCACAAGTAAATTTTGTTGGCTCGGCAAGACTTTCGTTTCCATCCACCCGTTGAAAATTTAATTCGATATCGTTGTATGATATTTTGTTGAACAATTACTTTGTTGGTCTAAAGACCTGCAATAGGCAGATTCAGCTCTTGCATAATGTAAGTTAAATTGTAGATCAACGTGGCTCCTCCAACGACCACAACATTTCAGATGCAAGAACTTTAATTTTAAATATTTTTAAACATATATTTAGAAAACAGTTTCTAATAATAATATAAACCGACTTGAAATTCGCAGGTAATTTGTTTTTAAATTTTTATAAACACAAACTTAAAATAGAGGTTCTTAGTAATAATGAAAGCGGGTTTGAAATTCGCAAGTAATTTGTTTTTGTGTTTTTAAACATGCATGAATGAAAGTAAATCGTATGTAACAGCCAGAAGTTGTTGATTAACGTTAAGAATGTAATACCCAATCTATTAATAGCCATATGCACGTGTTGGCCAGCGCCCATACAATTTCTAGGAAAATACCTACAGCAGAGCCTTATTAGGTAATAATCTATCCTGAGATGATTCGCCCTTGAAACCAGGTAGATCATACCATAGTAAGTCAATTCGGAACATAGATCATTTCCTTTGCAATCTCCTGTAAAAATAAAACAGGACAAATGACCGTTAACAAAATTTCAAACAATTTTCCTTTCTTTGAAGAAGGGGGGTGGGGGAATGGTTAACGCGAGGTTTCCATTTCTCGCTTGGACGTGACAAGGAGTAGGGTCGCCTGTTCAACCTGGTGGGTTTTCTCTGGGTCCTCCGGTTCCCCCTACTGCTAAAGACCACTGCGCGCAAGCAAGCTAATTTTTTTATTATTGAAATAAAATTAAACCATGTCTTAGTCCTGAAATGACATATTTTGTGTTGAGTGGACGTTTAACCCATCGTCATTTCTTTTGAAATCACATGTTACTTTATTCTGATGAATAGTTTTTTGGTTAATTTTGTGTAAATTCTTCTGAAATAATAAGTTTCATGGTAGTTGTATGCATGGTTTATCACCGATGCCGAAGTGTCTTGATTGCAAAGGAGAGTGTTGTTTCAGCTAAAGTCCGAAGTGTCTGACAATCCGATTAGTGGTTACACAATCAGATTAGAACGCCAACGATACGCGTGCGTTATTGCAATTGCCTTATAAGGAGAGCCAACGTCCGCCGAAATGCAGTATGCTAGACTGGATATGAATATTAATTAGTCTAAAATGACCCACGTGGTGCGATTTCTTGGAAAGTACTGCGGTACGAGTTATACATCGAGCATATAAATACAATACGCGAGCTGACCGGTTCAACATTCTAGAAACAGCCGGGCTTGTGGAAAGACATTACTTCGTTAATACCGATATACTTGTAGTAATCTTATACAAAATATTTCACCATGGACGAAGACGTAGCAGCACTCGTTATTGACAATGGATCTGGTATGTGCAAAGCGGGTTTCGCCGGTGATGATGCTCCAAGAGCTGTTTTCCCCTCCATTGTTGGACGACCAAGACATCAGGTTTGTGAAAATTAGTATTGAATTTGAAAGTTCGAAAAACCGCCATCGTTTCACGAAATGCCAGTTTGGTATGTGAGCCAACGCGTGCTTCACTGAGCCACCACTCCTCCCCCATTTAGAATCCTACATCGTCTGCAGTTGCCAAATTTTCAATCCATCATATCTTTGTGAAATGAAATGAAATGGGGTTTACCGTCCTACTATTCTGCTAATGAAGACGGGCATATGCCATACATTGTGCTATGAGGGAAATCTTGCCCGGGCAGCGGCTCTACGGCCTACTCTTATATCGAATTCCAACTGCCAAGGGATCTTTTACGTGCACGTCAATGTGTACACGGGACCTCGGCTTTTCGTCCCATCCGAACGACCAGACAGCTGTTCTTGTCAGCCCCCCTCCCCCCGTCCTTCATGACTGACAAGGGGAAACCACGCTGGAAAATATGGATGAACTTTCTCGGCCAATGCAAGGATCGAAGAACACCCGACCTCCAGGCTAGCGAGCCAGCGTCTTACCCACTTAGCCACCGTAGCCCCCGATATATCTTTGTGAACACTGAACGGAATTTAACCATTTTGGACTGCATTTCCTTTTTAGAGATGTAACTTGCATAAATTGTAGTTTGCAAAGGAATCCAATTATCTCATGTGACGATCAGTGACTTTAAAGGAGGCAAGACTCTTAACTCAATATGACTTTAAAGGAGGCAAGACTCTTAACTCAATATGACTTTAAAGGAGGCAAGACTCTAAACTCAATATCATCCAAAGTCTTCCACATTGAAAACATGATTTACTTAATTTAAATCAACATTGATGTTGTGACCTTACCTGGAAAAGATGGGCTTCTGATATCCAATATTTTTAAGACAAAATAAACATTTTACCATTGGTACACGAATCGTGTATCGTAATGCGTTGCAGCGCAATTTGTAACAAGGGACTCGAAGGACAAGGCTAGAATACCCCAGAAATTATGTCTAACGGTGACTATATATTCTTATTCGGAGAGCATGCGGAATAGACTGGAATAACCGGACACTAGAAGTTGCCATTCGATTGGGACTTCTGGCGTATTTTGCCGAACATAACTGATTTGAAATTAGAGTATATGTTTACTACGTTCAGTTCTTCACTTTAAATATTCTAGAAAGCCATCTATTACGTGTAGTTTAATGGTCGAGTGCGAGACATTAAGTAATATATTGATATTGCACGAGGGGCACATTATGGGAGATTAGATAAAGAGCTGACAGTTTTCACTATAATAGTTACAAACTAGATAATGTAAAGGAAATTTGCTGAAAATTTCAATCCAATTGATTCACTATGAACCGTGATTTTAGCGATTGAATTTTCGGCCTAGCCTTGATCGTCATTACTAAAGTCGTTATTATAAAAAAAATAGCCTTGATTATCCATTTCATGATTAAATCCTGAATAAAAGTTGAGCAACAAATCGGTTCCTAATCCAGTAAATATCGTGGGCTAGCGATGTCATCGAGTTGATTATGGTCTAGGACAAGTTAATGTCTATTAATTTAGATAACATTTCAGGCCTAAAGAAAGATCAGAAATAGGCAGATTTACCTCTTGCATAATGTATGTATAAACAACTTAAAATATAGACACTAAGCCGTGCATTTCAATGAAATATGTCACCCCGTTTCAATATTTCAACTTGTATAAATAATGTACGCTTGGCACTTTGCCCGTACAATCAACTGAAATAATGGTACACCAACATCAAAGGATGACGTCACATCTAAAGATATACGAAATAAATTAATTACTTGTATTTTTCAGGGTGTCATGGTTGGTATGGGACAGAAAGACAGTTATGTTGGAGATGAAGCCCAATCCAAAAGAGGTATTCTCACCTTGAAATACCCCATTGAACACGGTATCGTCACCAACTGGGATGATATGGAAAAGATCTGGCATCACACTTTCTACAATGAACTTCGAGTTGCTCCAGAAGAACATCCCGTCCTTTTAACTGAAGCTCCCCTCAACCCCAAAGCCAACAGAGAAAAGATGACCCAAATCATGTTTGAAACCTTCAATTCACCAGCTATGTATGTTGCTATCCAAGCTGTATTATCCTTGTACGCTTCTGGTCGTACCACTGGTATTGTACTAGATTCCGGTGATGGTGTTTCCCACACAGTTCCCATCTATGAAGGCTATGCCCTTCCCCATGCTATCGTAAGATTGGATTTAGCTGGCCGAGATTTGACCGATTACTTGATGAAAATCTTGACCGAGAGAGGTTACTCATTCACTACCACAGCTGAGAGAGAAATTGTCCGAGATATCAAAGAAAAGTTGTGTTATGTTGCTCTTGATTTCGAACAAGAAATGTCAACGGCTGCCTCGTCATCATCTTTGGAAAAGAGTTATGAACTTCCTGATGGTCAAGTCATCACTATTGGTAACGAAAGATTCCGATGCCCAGAAACGCTTTTCCAACCTTCTTTCATTGGCATGGAATCTTCTGGTATTCATGAAACAACTTACAATTCTATAATGAAATGTGATGTTGATATCCGTAAAGACTTGTATGCCAATACTGTATTATCTGGAGGTACCACAATGTTCCCTGGTATTGCCGACAGAATGCAGAAAGAAATCACCTCCTTGGCCCCCCCTACAATGAAGATAAAAATTATTGCCCCACCAGAGAGGAAATATTCCGTATGGATTGGTGGTTCCATCTTGGCTTCTCTCTCTACCTTCCAACAGATGTGGATCTCCAAACAAGAATATGATGAATCCGGCCCCGCAATCGTCCACAGAAAATGCTTCTAAACCATCCCCTTCTCTAGTACATCTACTAGCAAGCATCCTTGTGATAAACTTTATCTGTGAAACTAAATCTGAAGTGAATTATGAACAAAAACTCTCAATACATACCCAATCTGTTAAATTATTAACTTAATCATTTTATTGTTGTTGAACCCTACCATTTTTTTTTTACAAAATTAAAAAAAAATCAATTTTTTTTGTAAGATTGTTTTGTGTTTTCTTGCTGTAACCTTGAAGTACAATCGAATGTCGAGATCATCGCAGCTAGATTGATTTTTCTTATGGGGCGTCCCAAGGCTTGTCATTTACTTTAAATAAGTCTCCAACTCCAATATCATCTAAAGTCTTCGACATTGAAAACCGAATTATTTGTCAATTTAAATCAACGTTGTTGTGATCTTACCGGGAAAAGAGGGAATTCTTATATTTCGTATTTCACCGAACATAGCGGATTAGAAATTACAGTAAAAACAGAAACGATTGAATGTAAATCAATACATTCATATTACATTTGTGTCAATTTCTAGTTCCCAAATATGAGCGATTAAGCTCCTTTAAATGACTTTATACAATGGGAAGATTGTCTGCTGAAATGAACTGAAATGGGGCTTAACCCCCAGTACGGCACCGACTCGGCTAATGAAGACAGACATACGCCATACAGTGTGCTATGCGGGAAATTTTGCCCGGACAGTGGCACTACAACCTACTCATATCGAATTCTAACTGTTAAGGGTTCTTTTACGTGCACGCCAATGTGTATGCTGGAACTCCGTTTTTCGTCACATCTGAAGGATTAAACGTTGTTCCTTGCCACGTCTTGATAATTTGGGGTCAAAATATTTGACCCAAAATTCCTGACTAGTGCTTTTTGGATTGGATACCAAAAAATTCTGATCGACAAGATTTTAACCCAAAAAGATTGGGTCGGGTAGCGACATATCACGGGGTATGGGGGACTCTCAAATGCGTATTTCTGCTATTCTAGCCCGTGAATTAAGTAACTTCAAGGTTTGCAACCGAGATCCCACTCTATGCCGACCTGAATTCTAACCACCCAAGCAGACCGTTCCAGCTGCATTCACAAATTATAATCAATGTCAGAAAAATGTTATACAAAGTAGAATGGCTACGGACAAAATGCTTTAATCCATAGTAAATTCAGTACAAATTGGGGCCACTGTGGCTAAGGCGCTGGCTCGCTAGCCTGGAGGTTGGGTGTTCGATCCCTGCATTGGCCGAGAAAGTTCGTCCAGATTTTTCGGCGTAGTTCCTCCCCATCCCCTTGTGAGAGATGCAGGACGGAGGGCCTGACAAGGACAGCTGTCTAGTCGTTCGGATGGGACGAAAAGCCGAGGCCCCGTGTACACATTGGCGTGCACGTAAAAGATCCCTTGAAAGTTGGAATTCGATATAAGAGTAGACCGTAGTGCCGCTGTCCGGGCAAAATTTCCCTCATAGCACACTGTATGGCGTATGCCCGTCTTCATTAGCCCAGTTCGGAGCAGAACAGTAGGACGTTAAACCCCACTTCACTTCAATCAGTACAAATTTGTGGTATTCAATTAAAGAAAGAGTAAAGCGTTTTATTAATTTTCGGGCACTTTATTTTTCCAACTAAATAATTTTTGTTTTCACTGTACCCGTCTGACAAAACAGTAGGACGTTAAACCCCATTTCATTTCAGTACCCGTCTGCCCGAAAAGTGAGTGTCCGAAAGTTAGGGGCTGCTGCCCATCCCCCGCCCCCTGGCTGGTACGCCTGTGCGAGAAGTCAAGAATCACTCAAGCGATGCGATTTCTTGGAAAGCAGTGTAGTATGTCCTTATATGGTATTTAAACAGTAACCCCACGCGGGTTAATCCTCGAGCGCATATAAATACAATGAGCGAACGACGCGGTTCAATATTATAGAAACAGCCGGGCTTCAGGAAAGAGCTCAGTTTGTTAGTACATGTATATCCATATAACTATTATAATATAATACAAAATATTTCACAATGGACGAAGACGTAGCAGCACTCGTTATTGATAATGGATCTGGTATGTGCAAAGCCGGTTTCGCCGGTGATGATGCCCCAAGAGCTGTTTTCCCATCAATTGTTGGACGACCAAGACATCAGGTATGTGAAAATTGAAATTTTATTTGAGCAATTTGAATTTCCCATTGACGTCTATATCACTGTATTTTAACAATCTGTATTATATATTCAGCTGAATTGTCTCGTAGCCATGCAGCGGCGGACTTTTTTTCAACCGATATTTAAACAATATTGGCATAGATTAGGGTTGGGCGTTTTCTCATTTTTTTTTCTCATTTTGTTCTGTGAGAACAACAGCTTATTAAGTAAATAAAAAGCAAAATCCTGATACCTGCTTTATATCCTTGATCCGTTTACAAGATTCTGAAATATACCAAGGGTACAGTGACCCGTGCACCCAAAATTTACCGAACAGAAAGTTGGTCTCGACACGGCGAATGTACACGCTTCAGTGGCTTTTCTCGAATTGATTTCTCGCTTACGGCACAGTATGATAATACTCAGCGGTAGGGTCTATGATACTATAAATAGCCATCGCACGTGCAATTCTCTACACATCTATCAACTATTACAGCCGTAAAAAATCTATTGTTTACGATTCTGAATAGCTGTAATATTTAGCTTATTGGTTATTACAGCAGCTTTAGAAATTACGTTCGTTTTATTTTTTAAATTGCTTTATCATTAACTGTAGCGTTAGGAGTGGCATCTTTTGGTTTAGTACACATAATATCTCTGAAATACTTGCGTTGGGCAAGAACATGATACTAGCAGTAGTTTCATTTTACTTTTACAAGGTTCCTAAAACAATTGTTGAGTTTCCAACGTGCGTGTTTCTAAATTCAATTTCTTGTTCCAGCTTTCTGTTGTTTCGTAAAAAAAGTAGTCTTGATTATCCTGGCCTGTCAATGAAACGTAGAATGGTCTGTAGACTGGTTAAGCGAGACTACTTTCAAAACAAGGGAACGTAACCTATTTTTTACTCACATGTGCTCGGATGTTATGGCCGACACTCGTAACCATCTTTCAGTGTATTATTTATGGATGATTAATAGTCCGATTCGGTTTGTTACATAATTCTCATCCGTCGGCTTTTCGGGTAGAAATCGTGGAATAAGTTTTATTTTGTAGGTTTTGATGTTAACGACAAAAAAAACAATGTTGACATTTTTTCTGAGTAGGTCTTCATAGTATGGGAGGCATTTATCTGAGGGCAGCCATTTTGCGATAATATTGCAACTTATTTTTTTTATTTTCACCTTATTTACAATGTTATCGACATATCAACTTTGATTTAGCAATGTATTAATATTGGCAGGAGTCATGACTATATTTCAGATATTTTTCCATTTCTGTTGGGAAAAATCGGACGATGTGCTGATTTTGATTAAGTACTAGTGTTTGGTATCAATATATATGTTTTCAAGGGCATAGACTCCATTTCTGCCAGTTACAACTGTTTAAAATGATTACAAGTTTACCTATTTGCATATTTCCAAGATGACGGACATTTTTTGCGGAAAAATGGGACGATGAGCTAATATTGATTAAGTAGTCGTCTTTGCTATCAGGATATATGTTTTCGGGACGCAGATTCCATTTCTGCCAATTACAACTGTGTCAAATGATCACATATTTAGAATATTTCCAATATGGCTGCCATTTGTGGCGGGAAAATGGGACGATGTGCTGATTTTGATTAAGAAGTCGGGTTTTTGTGCAATATATGTTTTCGGCGGCAGTTCGATTTCTGCCATTTACAACTGTGTGAAATGATGGTATGTTCATCCATTCAGCATATTTTTAAGATGGCCGCCTTTTGTGGCAGAAAATTTTTCTAAACACATTACTGAAAAGGTTTCTGAATCCATTTCTGCTATGTATAAGCTTGTAGCATGTTCCCGAAAGCCAGTACCAGTAAAATAGCACATTTATTTGGTCGATCGCGTTTTAGTAGTGGGACTCAAATCTGTTTTTCAAACTTGGTGGCTTCATCGAGACTTTTAGTTTATGTTGTCTGTCAGTTATAGATACAAAATTAACGATTGTTAAAAATATGAAACTATTGAAAAGGTAATTAATAAATTAAAAAGTAGAACAGAAATGTATATTATAAAGCGGTATACGGAGAAAAAAAATTAATGACTGCAAGTGAAATAGTAATACTTGCTATAAGAAACCTTTGTGGCCGGCCACGTTGTTGTGTAAGTGGTAACATACTTTATGTTTCCAACTCAACAGTATTCCACATGCTCGTTCCACATTCAGCCTGGAAGTCAGTTTATAACTTAATATATGCCACGAGGGCTACTTAGCATGTATTTCACTTACAGCCACGTCCCCACCACCCTTAACCACGTTGCCACCAGGCTGAAACGAAGCTCTTTGCCGCATGCTTGCTACGCTGTTACGGCCCTTATGTCTATATAGGGAAGATACTGAGTTTCGCCCATCATCTCCAGTCGTCTAGCACCCAGAGAGGAAACATCAAGAAAACTATAAAATGTTCTTGATTGCTTGACTTTGGCTGGTTATCTGCTTTGAAAGTGTATGAGGACGGAGTGAGCATTGCACAGTCTCTGTAGGCGTGACAAGAGAGCGTCTTACGCCCGGTAGGCACGTCACGGGAGTGTGGTGAGCACGTGTCCCGGGTTGACGGGTAACTGCAAGATCAAGGTCGAACGAAGCTCATGGCCGTATGCTTGCTACGCTGTTATGGCCATTATATCTATATAGGGAAGACACTGAGCTTCGCCCATCAACTCCAGTCTAGCATCCAAAGAGGAAACATCAAGAAAACTATAAAATGTTCTTGATTGCTTGACTTTGGGTGGTTATCTGCTTTGAAAGTGAATGAGGACGGGGTGAGCACTGCACAGTCTCTGTAGGCGTGGCAAGAGAGCGTCTTGCGCCCGGTAGGCACGTCACTGGAGTGTGGTGAGAACGTATCCCGGTCTGACGGGTAACTGCAAGATCATGGTGGAACACTTTGCGCGTAGCCACAGCTTGACTGGAGCGCACTGGGCGTAGTAATCGCTTGGTGTGGCATGAGCATGATGTGCGCGTGTCAATTTCTTGCCACACGCCCCATGCTGCCGTTACCTCGCCTTCATGTCAGGAGACCGAATGAATAGGAAAATCGATTTCAGCTGAGTGATCATCTCGGATGAGGAATTTTCATCGTTGGATAATATACCAAATGGGTGCGACACGGTACCGGCTTTCAGGAATGTGCTACAAGCTAATAGCCTACGTAGCAGAATTGGACACAGAACAAAATGATGATAATGTGTTTAGAAAACGTTCCGCCATCTTGGAAATATGCGAAATTGACACTAAAGACAACTACTTAATCGAAATCAGAATATCGTCCGATTTTCCCGCCACAAGTGACAGCAATATTGTAAATATGATGAATATGTGAACATATACTCATTTTACAAGATTGTAAATGTCAGAAATGGATTCTGCGCCCCTGAAAACATATATATTGACACCAAACACTACTGCTTAATCAAAATCTGCACATCGTCCCATTTTCCCGTAAAAAATGGCCGCCATTTCGAAATATGCTAAGTATGTGAACACGTGATCATTTTGCAAGACAAGACTGTAAATGTCAGGAATGGAATCTGTGACCCCGAAAACATATATATTGACACCAAACACTGGTACTTAATCAAAATCAGCACATGGTCCGATTTTCCCGCCCAAAATGGTCGCCATCTTGGAAATAACTTCATGAAGTGATGGAAAAAAATCTGAAATATAGTCATGACCCCTGTCAATATCAAAGCATTGCCAAATCACAGTTGATATGTCGATAACATGATAAATAAGGTGAAAATAAAAAAAACCAAGTTGCAATATTATCGCAAAATGGCTGCCCTCAGATAATACCCTCCCATAGTATGAAGACCTACTCAGAAAAAATGTCAACATTGTTTTTTTGTCAATAAACATCAAAACCTACAAAATAAAGCTTATTTCACGATTTCTACCCGAAAAGCCGACGGAATTACATTAGATGGCCAGAGAGAGAGAGAGAGATTTAACGTCCACTCGACACAAACTAGGTCATTTCGGGACTAACATAATATGGTTTAAATTTTTTATTTCAATAACACGCTTGCGCGTAGGGGTCTTTAGCAGTAGAAGGACCCGGAGAAAACCCACGAGGTTGGACAGGCGACCCTACTCCCTGTCAATAAATGGTCATAAAAGCTTGGTGGATATATAGATATTGTGGTGTAATTGTCGAGATATTTGGAGATATTTATTTATGGCGGGACACCCTTCCAAGGGCAATAACTCTATATGTAACTATCAGAAACTGCTGTAATTATTATTCATCGACAAAATCAAAAATAACGTAAATATAAAGCGGATCAGATGATTACAATCGTCGAACTATGACAATCTGATTAAAATACAGATCTATATTTCGTTTCGTTTTTTTTAATACTTTCCATGGCCTACACTACATGAAGATCTGACCGGTTGTAGCGATAGGTCGTGTCAGAAGTCATAGGAGCGGCTTTTGACCCTATGACGTCAGACATTTGATTAACCAATCAGCATTGATGTTACTAAGTGAATTACTCACAATTTCGTGCAAAACACGCCTAAAGCTCGCCGTAACAGACCGTTTCATTGGCTAATACCTCACACTATTCAGAACGCGTCAATGATAACAACTCTTCCAGATCATAGTGTAGTAAAGACAAGTAAAACGAAATTTTGAACTATAAAAACGAAACGAAATAGGATCTGTTTTAATCAGGTTGCGAACTATGATAGGATCGTTTCTGTTGTGATTTTGCCCATAACTGGGACTGCTTCCACCTTCCTGTGTAGTTCCTATATAATTGTCGTTTTGTTGTGGCCACGGCCCAGAGGATGCTTGTTATTACTCGCTAATTTCACTAATCTAAATTTCAAGCAGATTGGGCGATAACCTGTACAGCTAGAAGCTTCACAACATTTTATAAATTAAATAAGGGCCATAACTCTAGACATTATTAACGCCAATCTTTGAAATTCAGTCTGATTATAAGGTCACTCATGTCAACAACGATCGCTTTAGCTGCTAGAGCGTTCACAAGCTTTAATCAGAAGGGGCCATGACTAACGAAAAGGTTCTTCGTCTCACTAAATTGAAGTAATGCAGTTGAATTTGAAACGGATTAGATAACGATCGTTTGATTTTGAAGTTGATAGGCATCAACATAATTGACAAAGATTGCCATAGAATATCAACATAAACAAAACATTGGCTTATGAACACTTCAGTATATTTTCACTACAGTTCTCCAAAATAAATTGTCTAGAAAGACATCTATTATAGATATCTATAATACGAAATAAAATGATTACTTCTAAACTTATGAATTGTATCTTGTATTTTTCAGGGTGTCATGGTTGGTATGGGACAGAAAGACAGTTATGTTGGAGATGAAGCCCAATCCAAAAGAGGTATCCTCACCTTGAAATACCCCATTGAACACGGTATCGTCACCAACTGGGATGATATGGAAAAGATCTGGCATCACACTTTCTACAATGAACTTCGAGTTGCTCCAGAAGAACATCCCGTCCTTTTAACTGAAGCTCCCCTCAACCCCAAAGCCAACAGAGAAAAGATGACCCAAATCATGTTTGAAACCTTTAATTCACCAGCTATGTATGTTGCTATCCAAGCTGTATTATCCTTGTATGCTTCTGGTCGTACCACTGGTATTGTACTGGATTCTGGTGATGGTGTCACCCACACTGTACCCATCTATGAAGGTTATGCCCTTCCCCACGCCATCATGAGATTGGATTTGGCTGGTAGAGATTTAACCGATTACTTGATGAAAATCTTGACCGAGAGAGGTTACTCATTCACTACCACAGCTGAGAGAGAAATTGTCCGAGATATCAAAGAAAAGTTGTGTTATGTTGCTCTTGATTTCGAACAAGAAATGTCAACGGCTGCCTCGTCATCATCTTTGGAAAAGAGTTATGAACTTCCTGATGGTCAAGTCATCACTATTGGTAACGAAAGATTCCGATGCCCAGAAGCTGTTTTCCAACCATCTTTCTTAGGCATGGAATCTTCTGGTATTCATGAAACAACTTACAATTCTATAATGAAATGTGATGTTGATATCCGTAAAGACTTGTACGCCAATACTGTATTATCTGGAGGTTCTACCATGTATCCTGGTATTGCCGACAGAATGCAGAAAGAAATTACAGCCTTGGCTCCCCCTACAATGAAGATAAAAATTATTGCACCACCAGAGAGAAAATATTCCGTATGGATTGGTGGCTCTATTTTGGCTTCTCTCTCGACCTTCCAACAGATGTGGATCTCCAAACAAGAATATGATGAATCCGGTCCAGCTATCGTTCACAGAAAATGTTTCTAAACCATCAAATTCTCCAGTACATGTACTAGCAAGCATCTTTGTGATAAACTTTGTCTGTGAAACTAAATCTAAAATGAATTATTGAAATAAAATTGAACTATATGTTAGTCCCGAAACTAAATCTGAAGCGAATTATTCAAATAACATTTAACCATATGTTAGTCTGTGAAACTAAATCTGAAGCGAATTATTCAAATAACATTTAACCATATGTTAGTCTGTGAAACTAAATCTGAAGTGAATTATGAAAAAAAACTCCTAATACATACCCCATCTGTTGAATTATATTAACTTAATCATTTTATTGTTGTTGAATATACGTACCCTTTTTTTAACAAAATTATTAAAAAGATACTTTTTTTTTTACTAAGATTAATGTTGTGTTGTCTTTTTAAAGTATGAAAATTGATATTAAACGCTGCTTGTCTCTAATTTGAAGCACAAACGAATGTCGAGATCGTTGCAGGTAAATTGGTTTTGTTAAGGGGCATCTTAAGGCTCACCATTACTTATAAACATAAATGACCTGTTACAACGGAAAGGTCGTCTTCTGAAATGAAATGGGGGTTGACGTCCTGCTGTTCTGCTCCGACTGGGCTAATGAAGACGGACATACGCCATACAGTGTGCTATGTGCAACATTTTGCCCGGACAGCGGCACTACGGCCTAATCTTGTATTGAATTCCAACTATTCAGGGGTCTTTTACGTTCAAGCCAATGTGGATGCTGGACCCCCGTTTTCCGTACCATTTGAACGACTTAACGTAGTCCATTGCCACAAGCTCCGTCATACACGAACTTTCTCGGGCAACACCGGGATCGAACATGGGACCTCCAGGTTAGCGATCCAACGTCTTACTTACTGAGCCACCGTGGCTGCAGGTCGTCTGTGGATAGAAATTTTAACATATGAATTGTGAACCGCATCAGTCACTAATTTACATTATTAGGGTGGTTCAACCTTTTCGGTAATTGTCCCCTTTCTTTCCAACCACATCACTGGGTAAAGGTAAATAGTTGGTGTTGTTCTCAGTGTACCCGGAGTAAACCCACGAGGTTGAGTAGGCGCCCCCTATCTCCAAGCCACATACGCTCACACCAGGGATCGAAACCACAGCCGCAAGCCAAAGGTGACCGGCCAGCTAGAGGTCGAAGCGCAGCACTCTAGACCACTAGGCCATCCAAATAGTATTTAATATCGTGCTTAAATAGTATCTTGCCGTAATTGTTAATGGCCGTTGAGAAATTAACACTAAACGGTCCCTTATCTGGGTTGTGTGGAGGACTGAACAACGAAACGTAAAACTTATCTCGAGAATAATCTTGTTCACCTTTCAATTATAACCTTGCTTCGAGGATTTTCACCAAGATTTCAATTTGAGGTCAAAGGTAATTGTCCATCAGTCAATCTAGCATCCTTTGTCATTATCATTTAAACTTTAGACTAGAGGTGTAGTATTGTGAAATGAAATGAAATGGGGTTTAACGTCCTTGTGTAGTAATGTAGTTTGTAGAAAACAAGGCCTTTTATCACTGAAATAAGGTGGGGGGGGGCGAATGGTTAGCGTTGTATCATAATGTCTGTCTTTTAGTCAACTGGTGTGGATTCGATCGATTCCTCGCTTGTTTGTGGGTTTTCTTCGGATCCTTCGCTCTCTCTCTCTCTCTCTCTCTCTCGCTCTCTCTCTCTCTCTTACGTGTACACCGTACAAATAAGCAAATTTCACATTTTATATGAACAAAATAGATACTATATATAGGCCTAGCTTACAAGCTGTAATAAATGGTGTCGAGTGGTAACCTATATTTTGACGATGCATTCACAATAAATATAGAAGTGACCCCCACATAGAGGATAATCACGCCCCTTAGTAATATACGTTACAACGCCTAATATAGACATATTAGTAGGTCTATAGTATCTATATTGAACTTGGATTGAATTTACATTGATAAGACAAATACATTAAATGTCATATTGACGATGATCGACGTACGTTGGGCGTGTACATTTAATTTAAACCATTGACTCGTTTAGTTGTGGTTTCCTCTTGTCAATTGAGCAGTGTGGACGGCCGTGCAAGGAACGGTGTCTAGTCCTTCGAATGGTAGGAAAAACCGAGGTCTCATCGGTGCGCTCGTAAGTGAACCCTTGACAGTTGGAATTAGAATGAAGACTAGATCGCATCGCGGCTTTCCCGGCAAAATGTCCCTCAAAGCACGCATAGCGCATGTCCGTCTTCATTCGCCTGAATGGAGCAGATAAATAGGAGTGTAGAACTAGGACGCTAAGCCCAATTATTTCATTTAGCTGTTTCAAATTCCCGGTTGTACTTAAAACAAGGAGTAGGGTCGTCTGTCCAACCTCGTGGGTTTTCGAGAGAGAGAGAGAGAGAGAGAAATGAGGTTTAACGTTCACGCGACACAAACAGGTCATTTCGGAACTAATAACACCTCTCTCTCTCTCTCTCTCTCTCTCTATTTGTGTCGTTTACGTTTATATGTTTATATAACTTGTAGCCTTTTAACGGGGTTTGGGGCTTTACCCTCAACAAGATGACATAGCCTACATAATCAGATATGTTAAACAAAGTGGCATTAACCGGGCAATATTCGTGGTTTCATTCGAAGACTTAGTTGTGACAAGAAGTGGTGTTGCCTGCCTAACCTCGTGGGTTTATCTCCGGGTTATCTTCTTTGCTCCCACAGCCTACAATCCTTCTAAATGTATGCGAATTAATAAATTAAAGTTATAAGATGCTAGTCCCGAAATGACGTAGTTTGTGTTGAGTGACTGTTAAATCCCACGTCTTAAAAAAAGAAAGTCGTACACCAATGACATAGACTCCATTTACAGTGCTAGAAATGTTATTAAATAACCGATTGGTAATTCTTTATTATTTAAATATCGGCAACCGTATTGAAATAAAAAAAAAAGGGCGTGATTATTTGAACACGTGATACCCAGGATTAGTGTTATCAGTGGAGATATAAACTACACTATACATAGATAAATACATTAAACTATAACAGGTATCTAAAGGGGTGATGAATAAATTAAATATTCGCTATGTAAATGAGATAACGTGATTGTGTAACAGTGTATGTTAAAGGCCTACACACATGGGATTTGGATCTCGGAGTGGGGTTAATAGCCTACACACATCGGATTTGGATCTCGGAGTGGGTGACAGGCCTACACACATGCGAACTGGGCCTCGAGGTGGGTTAAAGGTCTACACACATGGGATTTGGATCTCATGTGCCTCGGTGTGGGTTAAAGGCCTATACACATTGGAGCTGGGCCCTTGTGTGGGTTAAAGGGCTACAAACACGGGAGTTGGGCCTCGGTGTTGGTTAGAGGCCTACACACACGGGAGCTGTGCCTCGGTGTGGTTTAAAGGCCTACACACACGGGAGCTGTGCCTCGGGGTGGGTTAAACGCCTAAACACATGGGAGTTGTGCCTCGGTGTCTGTTACAGGCCTACACACATGGGAGCTATGTTTCGGTGTGTGTTACAGGCCTACACACACGGGAGCTATGTTTCGGTGTGTGTTACAGGCCTTACACACATTGGAGTTGGGCCCGTGTGTGGGTTAAAGGTCTACACGCATGGGAGCACTAAAAGAAACCTTGACAGTATGAACTTGGTAAAGAGTAGGCGGATAAGCTGCTGTCCGGGCATAACTCCGACAACTGACGTGTTGAATAGAATCATGACGTAACTAAACACAACTTACATGTTTCAGCTATCGTGGCCTGGTTAGGTACATTTTTACTCAATATGTCAACTGCCACTATTCGTGGAATTGCGAGAATTCATTTCCAGAACGTTCAATCGAGTATCCCATATCGCAGACATATAATCTTTTGGTGTGCACATGCCTTTAAACACAATTCTAAATTCACCGTTACTTTACAAAATCTTGTCAGCGACATTAATAGCTTTTTATGATATGAAAGGACTGTCGATCTGAATGGGATACGCATAAGTGAAAACACACCATAAAAATAACTTCAAATTAAGATGCGATGATATACTTCTTTAGCAAAATCTGGGAAAACAGTTTATAATGGGGTATTATATGGTCTAGGCTAAGAATATGGTTCAATTTTATTTCCATAATTCGCTTGCGCGTAGGGATCTTTAGCAGTTGGAGTAAACTGGAGTCCCCGGAGAAAACCCACGACTTTGGACAGGCGACCCTACTCCTTGTCACGTACAACCGGGGAATCGAAACCACGCAAATTGATTCAATGACAGATTTTATGATACAGCGCGCACACGCGAACCATTCGGCCATCCAATCCCTCCGGGTTGTGAAGGAGTTCGTAATCTGCAGAACAAAGTTCGATACATGATCTATGTTGCGATTCCGGGTGACAGGTACATCACAGAGCCCAAAGGGGTAGATTAATGGTTTGACATTTGGATCCAGGAATGGCTTTAATATCTTCAGACAGGAGTAAGATTAGCACAATGAGGGTCCAATTATGAGTTTTATTGGCAAAATATATGTTGTTTCTTCGGGATTACTGGAAAACACTAATATGTTTGTTTTTGAGATCGATGGCTTCCGGTTGGGTGATGTAACGTTGATAAGGGAAAGTTTGTTGGTTGGGGCCGTTTCACGGCGCTAACCAAGCGAAAATACCTACACAGTTTAGCCTAAATACATTCTCTGGGCATTGAGGTTAATGTTTATATCGTTTATCAAAATAGACAAAGGTCGAAACTAGCTTTCACTTGTCTGATGTTAACACGTCTTCACTCTCGTGCATGCAATCTCTCTCTCTCTCTCTCTCTCTCCCTCTCTTTCTCTCTCTCACGATGATACGCCTGAATTAATGCAACTGCCTTATAAGGAGAGCTAATGCCTGTCGTCATATTTGAGTCGACTAGTATGACAGGTGTGAGAAACTGGTCTATGAATAGTTATCAAAGTGGAATTACCCAAGCGATGCGATTTCTTGGAAAGCAGTGTGGTACGCCCCAAAACAGCGACCTCGCGCGGGTTACACGCCGAGCATATAAATACCATGCGTGGGCTGAGCGGTTGAACATTCTAGAAACAGAAGGGCTTGAGGAAAGAGCTCAGGTTGTTAGTATCCATATAACTATTATATAATACAAAATATTTCACCATGGACGAAGACGTAGCAGCACTCGTTATTGATAATGGATCTGGTATGTGCAAAGCCGGTTTCGCCGGTGATGATGCTCCAAGAGCTGTTTTCCCATCAATTGTTGGACGACCAAGACATCAGGTATGTGAAAATTAGTACTGAATTTAAAACTCGGAAAAAATCGCCAGTGTTTTACAAAAGTCCACTTTGTATTTTGAGCCAATACCTCTGCTCGCCATTTAATATTCTATATCGTCTGCAGTTGATGCGGAACGTAGACAAATTTTCAATCTATCACCTTTATTACACAACTGCATGGTATATACACGAGTATGGTAAAGCATACAATACAAAGTACAATAACAATAATAAACATCAAGAACATAGAATAAGGTTTACAGAGGTTTCTAAAAGTATATTAAATTATATTAATAATGCTTGTAAGGTATATATTAGACCTTGCATAACAAATGGTATTTATATCCTTATAAATACATCCAGCTGAATTTGACCTATATAATTATTGTCGTTTTGTTGTGGCCACGGCTCATATTATGCTTGTTATTTACTCGCTAATTTCACAAATCTAAATTTCAAGCAGAATGGACGATAACCTGTAGCTAGAAGGCTATAAAAGCAAATTAACAGTATTTCTAAGTTTAGCAGCTATTACGGTATGAAAGTTAACTTAAGTAAAACAAAAGTCCTATTGTTTTCAAATTTGAGTGAAGTCTGTGTCACTACAGACCCGGGACTGTACAGCGCAGTGGACGCTTGCGTCTAGCCCCCGGATCCATTCACTTTTTTGAATTGTCTGTATGTTTGTGTTTTCCTGAGTATGATGTCCTGTCCGTGTATTTGGTTTTGTGTAAATTTTGTATGGTGCAGTCCCCCTGCACTTTCTATTAGAAGAGAAGGTGAGTTAAGAGGATGCGAAAAACGAAAAATTGTATTACGAAGGAAAGACAATCGAGGCTGTCTCAGCATATTAGGTGTTCTCTTTACCCCTAAATTAGCTTGGCATAGCACCTGCTCTCATCTAGCTCAACAAGGAACAAAAGGGCGGTCATGTTTGATCCGACTCCTTTTCTATTTCCATCACTTTTACATTTTAGGACTAGGGTTAGGGCTAGGGTCAGGTATTTAAGATTAAAACCTATAAATTCAGGGTTAGGGGTTTAAGATTAAAACCAATGAATAAGACAAAATCGTCAACAACAATGAAATATTGAGACACAAAAATGAGGGTCATGTAAAACATGAATGCCAGTAAAGGCTATGAATATGCTTTATAAATTTAGCTGTAAATTCAATTTAACAACAGAAAAATCCCTCTTTTTGTTTGATAGGATGGGGTTATGTCGAGTATCCAAATATTGAACAAGTGCACGTCAACTCAAACACCCACCAGCATAGCAGTCTATGACGAACTGGGGAGGCACCCTATTCATGTCACTCAAGTATAAAATGATTAAATATTGGCTCAAAATAACCCGGATGTCTGTTGATAAAAAAAACCTAACGCATGCTATAAACTTCTGCACAATTTGCATTGTCTGGGCCGCACAACGTGGTCTTCATATATAAAGCTATGAAAATACGACAACACTATGTTACAACCGTAAAATGAATATGAATATATTTTACCTACTCTATCATGGCATGGAATATTGTTTTATATTTTGAGATTGTAATAAAAATCTAGAACCATCACAAGATTTTATAAATTGAACAAAGGCTATTACTCTGAACGTTATTATCGTCAATCGTTGAAATTCAATATGATTATAAGGTCACTGATATCAACAATGCATATAAATTTCAACGACCGAACGATTGATTTTGCTCTAGAAAAGGGACCATGACTCTTATAAGTAATTAACGAAAATTGAAATCCAGTGACAATAGGGTTCTTCATCTCACTAATTTGAAGTAATAAGTAGAATAGTAGCCCCTCAAACCAATAGAAAAGATGAACTCCAAGTAGAAGTTAAGGTTGTATTTATTTAGACGTTTCGGACTAAGGTGTCCTTATTTCTACTTTATCCTGCAACCCCTTGTGTATCGCTGAGATCCTAGTCTAGATGTCCTCCAGATACTAGCATCCAGCTACTTTAGGACCTTTTGTACGAGAGTTGTTGTCGTTTTCTACTGGGGGATCACGTGGCTAAGTGGGTAAGACGCTAGCTCGCTAGCCTGGAGGTCGGGTGTTCGATCCCTGCATTGGCCGAAAAAGTTCATCCAGATTTTCCTGCGTGGTTCTCCCTTGTCAGTGATGCAGGACGGAGGGGTTGACAAGGAAAGCTGTCTAGTCGTTCGGATGGGACGAAAAACCGAGGTCCCGTGTACACATTGGCGTGCACGTAAAATATCCCCTGGCAGTAGGAATTCGATATAAGAGTAGGCCGTAGTGCCGCTGTCCGGGCAAAATTTCTATTTCCCTCATAGCACACTGTATGGCGTATGCCCGTCTTCATTAGCCCAGGTTAGGAGCAGAACAGTAGGACGTTAAACTCTATTTTATTTCATTTCATTTCATTTGTTTTCTACTGATAATTTGCAGTTCAATTTGAAACGGATTGGATAGCGATCGTTATAAGCGTCAACATAATTGAGTGCAGAAATTGCCAAGAATAGAATTCTATCACAAGAGAAAGATAGAGAAATGGGGTTTAACATCCACTCGACACAAACAGTCTTTAGCAGTGGTAGGAAACCGGAGGACTCGGAGAAAACCCACGAGGTTAGACAGGCGACTCTACGCCTTGTCACGTACAACCGGGGATTCGAAACAACGCCAGTTGACACAATGACAGGCCTTATGATACAGCGCGCACGTGCTAACCATTCGGCCATCCACCCCTCCCCCTCATGAATTCTATCACAATATCACTCGCTAATGAACACTTCAATATTATAAATTACAGTTCTCCACATTAAATTGTCTAGAAAGACATCTATTATAGATATCTATAATACGAAATAAAATAATTACTTCTAAATTTGTATATTTATGAATTGTATCTTGTATTTTTCAGGGTGTCATGGTTGGTATGGGACAGAAAGACAGTTATGTTGGAGATGAAGCCCAATCCAAAAGAGGTATCCTCACCTTAAAATACCCCATTGAACACGGTATCGTCACCAACTGGGATGATATGGAAAAGATCTGGCATCACACTTTCTACAATGAACTTCGAGTTGCTCCAGAAGAACATCCCGTCCTTTTAACTGAAGCTCCCCTCAACCCTAAAGCCAACAGAGAAAAGATGACCCAAATCATGTTTGAAACCTTTAATTCACCAGCTATGTATGTTGCTATCCAAGCTGTATTATCCTTGTACGCTTCTGGTCGTACCACTGGTATTGTACTAGATTCTGGTGATGGTGTTTCCCACACGGTTCCAATCTATGAAGGTTATGCCCTTCCACATGCCATCATAAGATTGGATTTAGCTGGCCGAGATTTGACCGATTACTTGATGAAAATTTTGACCGAGAGAGGTTACTCATTCACTACCACAGCTGAGAGAGAAATTGTCCGAGATATCAAGGAAAAGTTATGTTATGTTGCTCTTGATTTTGAACAAGAAATGTCAACGGCTGCCTCGTCATCATCTTTGGAAAAGAGTTATGAACTTCCTGATGGTCAAGTCATCACTATTGGTAACGAAAGATTCCGATGCCCAGAAGCTGTTTTCCAACCATCTTTCTTAGGTATGGAATCTTCTGGTATTCATGAAACAACTTACAATTCTATAATGAAATGTGATGTTGATATCCGTAAAGACTTGTATGCCAATACTGTATTATCTGGAGGTTCTACCATGTATCCTGGTATTGCCGACAGAATGCAGAAAGAAATCACTGCCTTGGCTCCCCCTACAATGAAGATTAAAATTATTGCCCCACCAGAGAGGAAATATTCCGTATGGATTGGTGGTTCCATCTTGGCTTCTCTCTCGACCTTCCAACAGATGTGGATCTCCAAACAAGAATATGATGAATCCGGTCCAGCTATCGTCCACAGAAAGTGCTTCTAAACCATCCCATTCTCCAGTGCATGTACTAACAAACATCCTTGTGATAAACTTTATGGGCGGTTGGATGGTCTAGTGGTTTAACGTGTGCGTATGAAATCACAAGGTCTATCATTGAGTCAAGTGGCGCCGTTTCGATTCCTCGCTTGAACGTGACAAGGAGTAGGGTCGCCAGTCTAACCTCGTGGGTTTTTTCCGGGAGCTCCGGTTTCCTCCCACTGTTAACGACCCCTACGCGCAAGCGAATTATTGAAATAAAACTTAACTATATGTTAGTTTGTGAAACTAAATCTGAAGTTACTGATGAACAAAAACTCTCAATACGTACCCAATCTGTTGAATTATTAACTTAATCATTTTATTGTTGTTGAATACGCACCCTTTTTTAACAAAATTATTTAAAAAAATACCTTTTTTTAAACTAAGATTAATGTTGTGTTGTCTTTTTAAAATATGGAAATTGATAAGCGCCGCATTCCTGTAACATGGAATTGATCTTCGTCATTTACTTTTGAACTCAAACGTCATTTAGCTGTCGTTCCTCGGGTTTTCCGGCGTGGTTTCTCCTTGTTGGTGGTACAGTATGGAAGGCTGGCAAGGAACAACGTCTAATCATTCGGATGGGAAGAAAAATCTAGGTACCGCGGCGTGTACACATTGAAGTGCACGTTACTGAACCCTTGACAGTTGGAATTGGAAATAATTTCACTCATAGCATGCATGGCGTCTTCATTCGCCCATATGGAGTAGAAAAATAGGACGTTAAACCCCATCTTATTTCATTTAGCTGCAAGTAGTAATGGATATCGCACGCCGTGTTCGATACGCCCTATGCTTTTTTTTTCGTTTACGTTTATATAAGCTGTAGCGTTATAGTTTGGGGCTTTATCCTCAACAAGATCAAGATGATATAACCGTGCGTGCTGTATCATAAGGTCTGTCATTGAGTCAACTGGCGTGGTTTCGAATCCCCGGTTGTACTTGACAAGGGAGTAGGGTCGCCTGTCCAACCTCGTGGGTTTTCTCCGGGTTATCGTGTTCCCTCCCACAGCTAAAGACACCCCTATACGTATACGAATTAATGAATTAGAGTTGTAGCGTACATTAGTCCCGAAAAGACCTAGTTTGTGTTGGGTGGATGTTAAATCCCGCGTCTTAAACAGAAAATCGTACACCAATAAAAAAGACTTCATTTATGGTGCTAAAAATGTTATTAACCGATTGGTAATTCTTTAATATTCAATTATCGGCAACCGTATTGAAATAAAAAAAAGGGCGTGATTATTTGAACACGTGATACACAGGATTAGTGTTATCAGTGGAGATATAAACTACACTATACATAGATAAATACATTAAACTATAACAGGTATCTAAAGGGGTGATGAATAAATTAAATATTCGCTATGTAAATGGGATAGGTGGCTTTTTACAACGTGGGTTAAAGGCCAACACGTGGGAGGTGTGCCTTAGTGTGGTTAAAAGGCCTACACACACGGAAAATATAAAATTCTAAGTTCAAAATTATAAATTAAAGTTTAAAATTATAAATTAAAGATCAAATTTTCAAAATTATAATCTAGTTTACAAAACTAAAAATGAAAACTGAAAATTAATTTACAAAATTAAAAATTACTCTGCAAAATCCAAAATTGAAATTAGAAATTATATTTCAAAATTAAAAATTAAAAATACAAATAGGAAATCGAAAAAATAAAAATAATTCGTATTTGAGCTCCCGTTCAATTGTCACCATTCGTGGAGAATTCTTTGCCGGAACGTTCAAATCGAGTATCCTATATCGACGACATTATAATATTTGGTATGCGCATGCCTTTGAACACAAAGGGGGTTGGATGGCTGAATGGTTAGCGTGCGCGCGCTGAATCATAAAGTCTGTCATTGAGTCGACTGGCGTGGTTTCGAATCCCCGGTTGTACGTGACAAGGAGTAGGGTCGCCTGTCCAACCTCTTGGGTTTTTTCCGGTTTCCTCCCACTGCTAAAGACCCCTATGCGCAAGCGAATTATTGAAATGAAATTAAACCCTATGTTAGTCCCGAAATGACCTAGTTTGTGTCGAGTGGACGTTAAACCCCATTTCTCTCTCTCTCTCTTTGAACACAATTCTAAATTCATCCATGCTCTGTAAAATCTTGACAGCGAAATTGACAGCTTTTTATGATATGAAAGGACTGTAGGTCTGAATAAGTAAAAATATGCCAAAGAAATACCTTCAAATTAAAATACGGTGATAAAAAAATCTAGGACAACAGTTTATAATGGGGTATTAAATATAGCCTAGGTAAAGTCCGTACATTGACTTTGATACATATAATTTCTGGTGACAAGGGGTCACGGTGATCTGCCGTGCAAATACAAAGAACCCTTGACAGTTGGAATTCGATAAAGAGAGGGTGGGCGAAAACACCGCTGTTCGGGCCAATTTTGCCTTCCTGGCATTGCACGATGGCGATAGAGAGCTAAAATGACCGGAGTATTGGTTTGCATTCCGTTCCTTTTCGATGCAGGGCCATAACTATCTCAGAGCAACGACGAGGCCCACCCCCCGCCCCCGCCCTTAGTTACGGGCCTGTTTCGATGGCAAAGTAATGAAGGGGGCTTGCGTGGGGCATGAGCTGTAGAAAATAGAAGACCCAATAGGGGTCACTTCTAGGGGCAGCCAGGTTCAAAGCCAATGTCTATTTTAGTGAAATGATGTATTAAAACTGACGAGAATTCAATTAAACATACATTATGCAAGAGCTAAATCTGCCAATTGCAGGTCTTTCTTTAGGCCTGAAATGTTATCTTAATTATTAATTAGACATTAACCTAGCCAGGCCATAAACAACTCTAGATGGTTATGCTAGCCTGCGATATTTAGTGGATTATGAGCCGATTTACTGCATAACTTTCCTTCACGATTTAACGATTAAATGGACAATCGAGACTATGTTGTTTATCGTATACTGATTTTTGTAATGATGATCGAGGCTTAGTTCTCGGTTCATAGTGGATCAATTTGAATGAAATTTTCAGCAAATTGCCCTTACATTATCTAGTTTTTAACTATTATGGTGAGAACTGCCAACTCGTTATCGAATCTCCCATAATGTATCTTTAAATTACAAGCCTGTAGTTTCATACACGCATCTCGATAATTTTAACCCAATCGGGGAGCCACATGTTCAATTGATTTAAGATAGGATAAGATAAGATAAGATTTTTATTGATACATCATAAACACATAAAAACAACATCAATATGCATTGCACGTAAACTAAACATTTAATACATCAATAATCTCATTTATATAACACTACACATTGGATCGTCACACCTCAGAGTGGATCAATTTGACTGAAATTTTCAGCAAATTCCCTTTATAGTATCTACTTTTTAACTATTATAGTGAGAACTGTCAGCTCTTTATCTAATCTCCCATAATGTATCTTTAATTAGACATTAATTAACTTATCCTGGCAATAATCAACTTTCGATGCCATCGCTAGTCTGCGGTATTAAATGGAATGAAATCCGACCTACTGCTCAACGCTCATTGATAATTAAATCAAAAAATGGATTATCGAGACTATGCTTTATCGTACCGACTTTAGTAATGATGATTGAGGTTAGGCCTAAAATTTAATCGCTAATTCTCGTTTCATAGTGGATCAGTTTGACTGAAATTTTTAGCGAATTCCCTTTATATTATCTAGTTTTTAACTATTATAGTGAGAAGGCCTGCTCTTTATCTAATCTCCCATAATGTTTCTATAAGCTTATTTCCGTGATGGTTTATGACAGATCCTGTTCTTATTACGTGTCTGCATCCTGTCTGACTTAGGCCTTTTCGGTAAACACATTTAATAGTTCATATTTTGATATGTCAAACATTTTTGTTATGTCTTGTGAATGGCCTGTCAGTCAAAGAAAACTCGCTTAGATTTCATCATAAACATAAGAGATTTGTCATTGTTAGAGATAGCATCTTTGTCGTTTTACGGTTATTTCCGCCGAACAAACGACTCCATTAGCTTATTATGATGATCTGTCATTTTAGTCTGAAATTGGATTGAGACTATTTGATTGCCTGAACAAATTCCTGGACCGACCAATCAGAACGCTAGTATTAGTCTACGCAGTTTAGCCAAACGAGTAAATCTCTCAGGTAAGTCTTGTCAATCGAATATCAGCCACGATATGTCCTGTACTAAATGATAAGGCCAGCTCAGTTTTTCGTCATAGGTCACGAGATGTAAACAGGGCTAGCGCTAATCCAAACCTTAACCCTAACCCTGGACCTAGCGCCAAGGCTTACCATAACACAAACCTACAATCTCGCCAACAATCACGTGCCCTAACCTTATTAACATCTCAGCGAACTTAACAAAAATTGAGCTGGCCTTAACAAATAGATTTAGCCCTCCTGTACGTCTGAAGTGTACTTGAGGTTTTGCATCATGGCAATATTCCATTGGTTACCAACTTTCGATATCATATAAAGTGCACAGCTTTGATGTGTGATATGTACACGGGCTTGGTCCAACCTCGTGGGTTTTCTCCGGGTCCTCCGGTTTCCCCCCACTGCTAAAGACCCCTACGCGCAAGCGAATTATGTAAATAAAATTAAACCGAAATGACCTAGTTTGAGTCGAGTGGACGTTAAACCCCATTTCTCTCTCTCTCTCTCTCGATCCCGGTGTTGGCCGAAAAAGTTCATCGAGATTTTCCGGCGTGGTTTCCATTTGCCAGTGGTGCAGGACGGAGGGCCTGGCAAGAACAGCTGTCTAGTCGTTCGGATGATACAAAAAACCGAGGTCCCGTGTAGACGTTGGTGTACACGTAAAAGATCCCTTGGCAGTTGGAATCGATATAAGACTTTGCCCTAGCACAATGTATGGCGTATGCCCGTCTTCATTAGCCAAGTCGGAGCAAAACAGTAGGACATTAAACCTCATTTCATTTCATTTAATCATTTCATGGTTTTCTGGATTTATGTGGTTTTCTTGATTAACTAAACACTGCCTAGTGCAGCTAAGATTTAAATTATATAGGCCCTATGACCTGTAACTTTTGTTTACTCGAGCCATTTTCTTTTTAAAATCCTCACTTTTTGAAAGTTCTATAACAGGGCATTTTCGCTATGCTCCCTGTATTCCTCCCTTCAGTAGCGGATTATTTAGACTTGTCTGATACGATTAAAAACGCATAGACAATGAATGTTAGGGGGGTTGGGTTAAGGCCCAACGGGAATCAACATAGGCCCTGACACGAAATTAATTAGGCCCACGCCATTTTAAATAGGCCCTATTTAAAAACTAAATAGGCCCTCCAGCAACTGCCGCCTCAGGCCTTGGTGGAGCTTAATCCGCCACTGCCTCCCTTCGGTAAAGACCCCTATAAGATAAGATAAGATAAGAT